GCCGAGGGCCTCTCGAAGTTGGAAGCGGACCAGGAGACACGCGAGCAACCTAGGAAAGAAGATGGTTTCCGTTTCTGCCTCGGCACCTCGGATGCGAAGGATGCTTTCTCACAGATTCAAAACTGATCGCGAGCTCTCCGCCTTCATTGCTTGCAGCCTGTGCGCGCGAAAGAGTTGGGGCTCGCGGGCAAGAACATTAATGGTGTGGGCGTGGGAGCCGGGTCCTGGGTGTTTCCTGCGTTTGAGAGCCCCCCGATGGGCTTCACCTGGTCGCTTTATTTCTGCCAGCGAACGCAGGAAAATTATGCTGGCGGTTCCCCCAGCTTGCGGATCGTGGAGGCCCTGGGCGGCAAGACCTCGAGCTGTCTTCTTGGCCCTACAGGAGCCCCTTCTCTCAGCCCACTACGTCTACGTGGGCAATATTGGGGTCTTGGGATGGGCAGAGCAAACTGCGCGACGTGGACTCCGGCAGGCCTCCCAGCTCCTCACCAGTAAGGGCCTCGAAACTTATGGCGACGAGATCCAAGTTGGGGGGGCGAGACCTTGGGGTGCAGCTTGGACGGGGACAGCCTGTGTACATGCGTGACCCCAAAGAGGTATTGGATTGTTCGACAAGCACTCCGATGGGGCCTGCGATGTCGTGCTCTTACCGGGCGTGCTTGGGAGATCCTGCTAGGGCATTGTACGTTTGCGGGGCTCTGCAACAGGGATTTCTTGTGCGTGTTCAGTTCGTTATACAAATTTATACAGGCTCGGTACCTCGTGGCGACTCCTCTCTGGGAGTCCTGTCGCCGAGAGGTCGAGTCATTCCTCGGTATCATGCCGCTCCTGCCTGGAGAGCGGAGCCGAGACTGGCATCCCGTTGTTGCAGTGGCAGACGCTTCTGAATATGGATATGCAGTCAGCGCGAGCAATTTCGGAAGAGAGCAGGCGCGAACACTTGGCCGAATACAGGAGAGATCGCGCCTCAGAAAATGCCAGGCAGATCGGCAAGAGACATTTTTTTTCTCTGAGAATAGCATCGTGATGGACGAAGAGGGTCACTGGCGCCCTCGTGAGGATATTGACGGCGATTCGGGCCCTGGTGATCACCGGGCGCGGGGGCTGGATCCCGACTTTGTCGAGATGGACGTTCGTTTGTTCAGAGAGTCGAAGTGGCAGGAGGTCGCCGTTGGACTTTGGCTTCGACCCTCGGAGGGAATTCTTGTTATTGAGAGCCGTGCGCTCCTTCGTGCTCTATACGTCCTCGCGGATACCTCCTCCTCTTCTGGTCGGCGTGTCTTAGTGCTCTCCGACAACATGTCTGCCGCGTTGTGTTTCGAGAGACGTAGGTCGCGGAACTGCAAAGTGCTTGTCTGTATTCGTTCGGCGATGGCCTTGTGCTTGGCATTAGATATAAAGATGCATGTTCGCTGGATTTCGAGTCAGGCCAACCCAACTGACAAGGGCCTTAGGTTTTTCCATCCCAACTACGATGCTAGCACAACTGCCACCACTCTGCTTGACGACCACATGGGCGGGAGGTTAGACAACTGCAAGGTCGATGCGATAGAGGGCGACGACGACGGGAAGTTCAGGGAGGCGTCCGACGATGCGAAAGACCCGCTCAGCGTCTTTGGGGCCTCTGAGGTTGTCAACCAGCCGTTGCCGACATATGTGATACCAGACTCAGATGTGCTTGAGGAGAATTTCGAAGACTCGTACATTGCCAGCTTCCAATCTCACCTTCCGCACCCGCAGCCCGCGGCTCCAATCGGCCATGCTGGGCCGTTCTCTCGATGAGAAGAGCCAGTTACAGCGCGCCCTAACCGCCAGCCTCGCTCGAGCAGCCTCCAGCCATGGCAAACCGGAAGAGCCCAGACGGTCGAACCGCATCCTTGCGGCCCCCGGAGGGCTGCCGAACCTCGACGCCGCAAGGCAGCGAGGCGGGGATGTCGCGGCAGACGGCGTGGCGATCAGGTATCTCAACGAGGAGTTCGCCGCGGGCAAGGGTGTCCAGCGCGGCAAGACCCTCGTGGCTGCGCTCATCCACTCCTTCCCAGCCTTCGGGAAGCACGGCAACCGCAAGCTCCCTCGCTCCTGGCGCGCCCTGCGGGGCTGGAGGCGCTTCAGTGGCTTCAAGACTCGGAACCCCGTGGTGAGCATCATCTGGAGCGCGGTCGTATCAGACTTGTGTTATCGCGGCTACTGGCAGATGGCGCTCCAGACCGCATGGATGGCGGTCGCATACCCCCGACCATCAGAGCCGCTGGCTTTTCGCAGGAAGGAGCTCTTCCGCCCGACTCGAGGATGCAGTCGAGAGTGGGGAGTAGTACTATTTCCAGAGACGCGAGACCAGTTGAGAAAGACTGGCCACAGAAACCAGACCATCACCCTGGAGAACAGCATCTACCCGTGGCTCCCGCAAGTATTAGAAGAAGCTTCAAGAAGGGCGATCCCGATTCTCTCCCGTTCAACCACGGCTACAACCACTTGCTTGAACAGTTTCGCACCGCGACATGCCGGATGCATCTGCCACGATTTTTTCCCTATCAAGGGCGCCACAGTGGCGCGAGTCTCGACGGACAGGGGGAGTTCCGAGACATCTTGGAAGTGAAGAAGAGAGACGGGTGGGCGTCGGACCCGAGCCTTCGGAGGTACGAGAACGCCCCGCTTCTCAGCAAATCGGCAAGCGACCTGACGCCAGCCCAGCTGACGCTGTTCAACATAGCCGACGCCGACCTCGCAGACATGTTTCTTGGCCGCCGCCCGCCTCTCAGCATGCTCGTCCCGAGGGGCTGAAGGCTGGGCATTGATTTGCTGATGTCTTCAGTGGTTGTGGGATCGTGGGTCGCGCTGCCCAACGCTTCAATCTCGTCGCGAGATGCTGCGAAACGGTGATCAACCCCCTTTTAGATATGACCCGCGAGGACACCTTGGTGAGTTCCTTGAAAGACATCGGGAGACACAAGGTAGTGGCTTGTTGCATCGCAGCGACCTGTGCCAGTTTCAGTGCTGCCTGAAACCGTGCCAGAGTCATTCGGAGCGTCTCAGAGCCATGGGGCGTCACCCAACAAGATGAACCCTCAGATCGTGACCGTGCCATTCTTGCACAAGGGAATGAGGTTACGAAATCAACCCTGGAAATGATTGAGGCCCTCAACAGCGCCAAGGCCCCTTGGGTTCTCGAGAATCCCTGCACGAGCCTCATGTGGAAGCTGCCCGAAGTCCTTCAGATTGCCTCGCAGTGCCTTTCATTTGTTGTTGATTTCTGTGCCTACGGCAAGTCCTTTCGAAAAAAGAACGCGCCTGCTGTTTGGAAACGTGAAGCAGGAGCATTTGTCTGTGTTCAACTGTAGAGTTTGCAGAGGTAAGGGACATTGCGAATTCTCAGGGCGTCCGCGCATCGAGTTGACAGGTATGCATCCTACTGCTAAAATATGTTGGACGCCGTTCGCCCAACCCTACCCCCCCAAGCTCGCTTCTCACATTTGTCAATGTTTGCTACGCTCAGCCAACATCCGAACTCGGGAATGAGTCGGGCATTCGTTTTGCGTCAGGAGGCGCCTCTCCTGTCTAAGAGGTGCCGCCCTGCAGCTCGCGCCGGCACCTTTGCCCTCTCTTCCGGCCGAGCATCTCGAGACGCATTTGCTGTGCTGAGCTAAAAAGCGGGAGCGGCCGTTGTGGCCACATAGAAGCGCTGTGCACGTTATTGTTGCCACGGCCGCGGGCGCTCCTGTTCAAGTGCCCCGCCCTCCCAGACCCACGGGGTATTCGCTTTGCATCAGGAGGCGCCTGTCCTGTCTAAGAGGTGCCGCCCTGCAGCTCGCGCTGGCACCTTTGCCTTCGAGTCCGGCCGAGCATCTCGAGACACATTTGCTGCGCTGAGCTAAAAAGCGGGAGCGGCCGTTGTGGCCGCATGATAGGCGAAAAGCCGTAGATGCAACAAATATACGTATGCTTTGGGAAAATCGATGATGTTGGCCTCTTGGGGGACTCTTGGGGGCCTCTTTGGCCGTCTTGGGCGGTCTTGGGCTCTCGTGGAGCGCTCTTCGGCTGTCTGGAGGGAGAATTCGAGAAGAAGAAGGAGAAAAAAAAAAAAAAAAAAAAAAAAAAAAAAAAAAAAAAAAAACTTAGGGACCCCCTCCAAAAAAGGGCCATTGGACCCCCCCTCCGCGCCTCGCCCACCCCCCTTGGACACCCCCCCCTTAAGGGTTTCGCCCCAATTCAACGGAACTCACTCGTTCCTCGCTCTTCCCGTCACCCGAAGGAGAGGACCCGGTTCAGTCGGAAGAAAACCTTGTCCCCAGGGGCCTCGCCCACCTTTTCACTGTCGCCGCGCCACATATTTGCTGCAGCCATATCTCACCTCTTTTTGCTTCCCCCCCTGAGGTTACGTATGATATGATGATGATGGTCACGTCTCTGCTCCTCCCTCGCTCCTGTTTTGCGGCGCCTGACCGCTTTTATGGTGTATGTTGGCCTACTCCCCTAAGGGGGGCCCGATCGGGCCTCCCTGGGGGAAGCGGCGGCGTTCGACGAACACCAACGCCATCAGCGTCTCAGCGTCTCTGGAGGAGGAGGAGGAGGAGGAGGAACAAAAAGCAGGAGAAACAATGACCAGGATGCGGAAAATGAGTGAGAGGGAGGAGGATAAGGAGGGAGGCGGAGGAGGAGTGAGAAGGGAGGGAGCGGAGGACGAAGGTGAGGATGATCGCTTTGTTTTCCTTTTCTGGTTCATGCTCGTGCGATTTAGAATGCAAGGAACTCACTTATGTTATCCTTCCCTCTCCTCCTCCTCCTCCTCCTCCTCCTCCTCCTCCTCCTCCTCCTCCTCCTCCTCCGTCATCCCGCATCCTCCTTTTCCTCCCTTTTATGCGCATTCCAGATGAGCATCGAGCATTACGTTTCTCGTTTCCCTTTGTCTCCTGTCCTCATGTTCGTCCCCTCCAGCTTCTCGACCTGCCCCGTCGGCGTCGAAGTCTCGATTTGCTCCTCCTCTTGATAGCCCCGCCCCGGAGGCATCCAGCGCCGCCGAGGGGTATCCGGCGCCCAGCCCTTCTTTTGCCGATCTTGCGGGGAGATGGGGCGAGGAGGAGTAGGAGGAGGAGGAGGAGGAGGAGCAGGAGGAGGAGGAGGTGGTAGCGCACAGCTGATGAGCAATTCGGAGATCAACGTTCGATCCATACCCTTGCTGCTGCCCCCATTCTGGCTTCCAGAGTGGGCAGGGCATGGATAAGCAGCTCGGCCTCCAGAGGCTGGACTTTGATCCATGCCTGCCTCCCCGGCGAGTTTTGGCACGAGCAGGGGCACGGTTAAGATGTTTCTCGCACTGCACAGTGTGCGCAGCAGACGCGCTCGTGATCACACGCAGAGACGGGGCCAAGCGGACGCGCCCAGGGGCCCAGCCGAGGGGACCGGCACCGAGCAGGAGGCCGAGGGACCGGGGCCGCAACGAAGGCGAGGAGGAGTGGCAGCGAGGGAACGTACCGAGGGGACAAAGACTGGCAACAGCATTAAGTCGGGCCACAGAGGGCAACAGCATTAAGTCGGGCCACGGGGGGAACTTTAAAAATAGTAAGAAAATAGTCTGGGGACGATTTTCCTAACATTTTCTGTCATTCTGGGGCATTTTCTGTTTATTTTCCAACCAACCTGTGTTGTTGGGTCCTCGTTTTGAAGAGACGGTCCCCACGTCTCCTCATTCTCCTCCTCCCTCCTCCCCTCCTCTCATCATCATCATCATCACCACCACCACCACCATCATCATCATCATCATCATCATCATCATCATCATCATCATCATCATCATCATAATCATCATCATCATCGTCATCGTCATCGTCATCGTCATCGTCATCGTCATCGTCATCGTCATCATAATGATCATCATCATCATCATCATCATCATCATCATCATCATCGTAGTCGTCGTCGTCGTCATCATCATCATCATCATCGTCATCGTCATCGGCATCGTCATCATCGTCGTCATCATCATCATCAACATCAGCATCATCAACATTACCACACGTTTCGTTGCTCCATAGGGAGCTCCGCCGAAGGTCCCAGTGGCACAGTTCGCATGCGTCTCCGCCACTCATTTCGGCACACCCCTCACACGTTTCGTGGCCCCCATAGAAGCTCCGCCGAAGGTCCCAGTGGCACAGTTCGCATGCGTCCCCGCCACTCATTTCGGCACACCCCTCACACGTTTCGTGGCCCCCATAGGAGCTCCGCCGAAGGTCCCAGTGGCACAGTTCGCATGCGTCTCCGCCACTCATTTCGGCACACCCCTCACACGTTTCGTGGCCACATAGGAGCTCCGCCGAAGGTCCCAGTGGCACAGTTCGCATGCGTCCCCGCCACTCATTTCGGCACACCCCTCACACGTTTCGTGGCCACATAGCAGCTCCGCCGAAGGTCCCAGTGGCACAGTTCGCATGCGTCCCCGCCACTCATTTCGGCACACCCCTCACACGCGTCATGGCCCCATAGGAGCTCCGCCGAAGGTCTCAGTGGCACAAGTTCGCATGCTTCCCCGCCACTCATTTCGGCACACCCCTAACACGCTTCGTGGCCCCATAGGAGCTCCGCCGCAGGTCTCAGTGGCACAGTTCGCATGCGTCCCCGCCATTCATGTCGGCACACCCCTCACACGTTTCGTGGCCCCATAGGAGCTCCGCCGAAGGTCCCAGTGGCACAGTTCGCATGCATCCCGCCACTCATTTCGGCACACCCCTCACGCGCTTCGTGGCCACATAGCAGCTCCGCCGAAGGTCCCAGTGGCACAGTTCGCACGCGTCCCCGCCACTCATTTCGGCACACCCCTCACACGTTTCGTGGCCCCATAGGAGCTCCGCCGAAGGTCCCAGTGGCACAGTTCGCGTACGTCCCCGCCATTAATGTCCGCACACCCCTCACACGTTTCGTGGCCCCCATAGGAGCTCCGCCGAAGGTCCCAGTGGCACAGTTCGCATGCGTCCCCGCCACTCATTTCGGCACACCCCTCACACGTTTCGTGGCCCCATAGGAGCTCCGCCGAAGGTCCCAGTGGCACAGTTCGCATGCATCCCGCCACTCATTTCGGCACACCCCTCACACATTTCGTGGCCCCATAGGGAACTCCACCGAAGGTCCCCGTGGCGCAGTTCGCATGCGTTTCCCCACCCAGTACAGCGTTTCGTGGCCCCATATGGAGCCCCACCGAAGGTTCCCGTGGCGCAGTCCGCATTGTGTTGTTCGTTTTCGCTCGTGTTGTGTACCACGCCAGTCATTTCGGCACACCCCTAGCACGGTTCGCTGCCTCATAGGGATCACCACCGAAAAGGTGAATCACAATTGCGGTACTCACACCTGCATATGGTTGGGTCCTTCGTCAGGCTAATTTTAGTTTTTCGCGCCAAATCCACCTGTTGGAGGACAGGCCCGACCTAAGGCGAAGATGAGAGGCAGCGAGGGAACGCACCGAGGGAAAAAAGACTGGCAATAGCAAAGTCGCGCGGTGTGCGCCGATGCCCGCGCTGTCCGTGCCTGGCAGAGGCACTCATCGTTCCCGAGTGTTGCGGCTGCACAGCTGCGCCCGAAGGCGCAGCGCACTGCGCGCATGCGCACGTCCTGTCGTCTCAGTCGGCTCCTCGTCCATGTGGTCTCTCGTCGACGCTGTAGTGCCCTGTGATCGTGGCCGCTGGTCCAGCACAAGGGCTTTCAGATAAGTTCATTCATGAAGGCTCGGTCACCGATGCGCCCAGGGCGAAGTCTGTTCATTAAGGCTCGGCCGCCGACGCGCTGGACCAAGGGTGGAGGAGGAGGCGGAGGTGGAGGGGCTGGAAACAACTTCATCTCCCTTCCACGTTTCGGTACTTGACTTCTCGGGCTCCTGCCTAACCTGTCCTTCCCCATGTCAAGTCACGTACCGCTCGCATGCTGCTTCTCTCTGCCCACACTCCCTGGCCACCTTCTCCCGCTCTCGCTATACCCAGACCCCCGATGTCATGATTTGCTCAATGACGCGACCCCTAGAGGTCCGGACCCATTCGCGGGGACGGGCTTTTCATCCTGAATTGTGTGTTGACGGCCCCGAGGGCCGGTAAGGACCCCCAGAGGCCGGAAACAGCGAAACACCTCCCGCCGTGATGTTTGACAACAACGCGAGGAGGTCTGGGCACACGCGCAATGTGCACGTGTGCGCCCGTGCGCCGCAGGCGCCCGAGGGGGTGCCCCCGCACGTCCGGGCGCAGATGGAGCAGGTGGGAAGCGCCCCCCGCCCCCCCGCCGCGGGCCGAGAGAGAGAGACAGGCCTTCGGCAGCCCGAAACCCGGGGAAGTCATGCAGTGGGGTCCGCCACCGGGGGGGGGGCTCGCCAGCTCCTCCTCCTCCCCCTCCCCCTCCTCCTCCTCCTCCTCCTCCTCCGCCTCCTCCTCCTCCGCCTCCTCTCCTCCTCATCCTCATCCTCATCCTCATCCTCATCCTCATCCTCATCCTCCTCCGTAGCCATTTAGGCTCAAGGCTATGAATTCCCCCGCGGAATACACGGATACCGCTAGTCCGCGGCCAGTGTCAGAACGTTTGCGCTTGACATCCCACCCTTTCAGCCAGCACCTCAGGAGCTCTCTGGCGGCCCAACTTCGCGAGAGGTTCTCGGAGGTGAGCCCGCAGCGATGTCCCAGAATCGACAGAAGCAAAGTCGGATGGCGTGGGCGAGGCCGTGGCTATGCCGCTGGTGCACCATCAAATCGGGCGAGTGCTGGTGGAACCAAGCGGGAGCCAAGGTGTGTGGTGGTGAATGTAAGTGTGACAAGAGCATCGCCTTTTTCTCCATCATGCCAACAAAGTCGCCGTCATGGTCTTTGGGAGCAGGTGGTAGCAAGGCCAACGACAAGGATGCGGACACCAATGGCAAGACGTTGCGAGAGAAGGCCCTGCAGAAACAGCTTGCCGAACTGCGCAAGCAGTTGGAGTCCAAGGGCGATGACGACATGCAGATCGGCGAGAGCAACGGGAGGTCTCCTACCGCGGCGGCAGTCGACAATGACAGGTAGAAGGCGGAGTTAGCAGAGGCTGAGGCAATACGTTGCCGCGTGAGCCGACTTCGGAGTCCGCCATGCAGCAAAAGATGCATCTCGAGAGGCACCGCGACAGTTGCAAGGCCAAGTCGCGGGAAGCGCAGCCGTTCGAGTGGAGGGCCCATGATGTGGTTAATCCGAAGAAGCAGCTTACCATCAAGAGGGATAAGCTTGAGAAGGCAGCCGAGGCGGCGAAGGCGGCCGTCGAAGAGACGAAGAACGTGCTGGCGGAGACCGAGCGAGCACACCGAGGTGCTCGAGCAGATCGTGGCGAAGGAGGCGGAGCTCAAAAAGGTGGTAGATGCCCAGCCCAAGCCCCCACCCCGAAAGGGCGCCCTCTTCTACCATCGAGAACTTCGGAGTGTCGGTCGGAGAGCTGGGGCAGCACTCGGAGCGAAAGGACTTGGGAAGCAGGAGGCCGCCAAGCTCACCTCAAGTCTGCCATGTCCGCCATCAGGAAGGCTGAGAAGAAGGTCAGAGCGGAGGCTCAGCCGCCAGAGCTTGTGCTACACGTTCCTGACGACGATGACGATGATGGCCTTGCTGCCGCAGCTCCCCTCCTACCCCGACAGTGCATGTACGTGCTGCCGAATGGGACGGAGGATGCTGAGACGTTGCGGAAGTTGTTGGAATCGCTCCAGCAAGGTGTTCCCGAAAACGAGGACGACCTGCGGGATGCGGTCAAGAGGCTCAGCGAGGGCATCCAGAGCCGGCCGAAGCGGGCCCGCACGGCGTGAGAGTTTGTTGTTGTGGTGTTGCATTTGTTTCTCAACAATGACAGAAGCTACCATCCAGACTCTCAAATGCACGTCGGCCCTGCAGCTCCAGGGGTTCCTCCCGCACCGCAAGGCGATGGGAAGCTGGCAGACTCTCAGATCCGTGTGCAGCAATTGGTTTGACATGGGATCTGGGCAGAGGCCCAGGCTACGGCCGCTGACGGCACATCGGCGGGGGTGGCGGTGCTGGCACCCAAGAGGGTGACGATCGCGGCAGCGCAGCTTCCTGGCGGCGCGGGTGCACTGGGGGGGGCCCAGAGGCCTGATCACACTTCCGTAAATATGCGTGTGAGTGAAGGCCTATCGGCCGGGAATGTGGAGATCTTCCGAGACATTGCCAAAGTCGTGAATTTGATCAGATCGGGTGGGAGATCGCGGGTCGTTGGAGGATATTTTAAGATGTCGAGCGTTGACTTCGCGAGCCCAGACTGGCTTCCATCGATTGGAGGGCTGACAAATACAAGTGTTGAGGCGACTGGCCGTCAGTCGCCACCTGGGTCGATCGTGGATTAGCTTCGGTGTGATGAGACATTGGTGTGGTGGGTTTGGAAGCCGTTCGTGGTTGCGGAAGCTGAGACCAAACCGCATCTGCCTGTCACGTTGCTGGGAGCTAAGGGGAACCCATTGCTGCAGCGCAGCATGAGAGAGGCCGAGGCTCTACTTGCCGTGGATATGCCGGGCTGCGCCAGATTCCCATGCTCACGGGGGCCCGTCTCACGCACGATAGAGAAGGTGAAGTCGAAGAAAGACTTGGCAGATGCTTGGGTCGACGTGCTTAACACGTTGGAGATTGAGTTGGCTGGCAGACACGACATTGATGGCGACGGTGTCTTACCGCACTTGGCTAAGAAACGCTGCAGCCATTGCGTCGCGGAGCAGCAGTGCAGCGAGGCGAGGGCCGATGCCTCCAACGAGGCCGAACGCGCATGGAAGCCCACCGAGAGATGGGCGAGGCGCATTCGGAGGGCGGAGGCGTCATTCTCGAAGCTGCTGGATGATTTGCGGAGAGAGTTCAAGCCGATGAGCCTTCCTGATGGGAGTCCGTCTGTGACGGGAACGGCGAGTTCGGCAGGCCAGAGCAGCGCGCAGGCTGCCTCGGGCGCGCCGCCAGAGGTAGGGGGGGGGGGCGGGGCTGAGGTGGGCCCGCGACCCCCACGGTGATTCGATCATGTCGCGCCCCACTCGCGCGGCGCCCCAGAGTTCAGAAGGCCGATCCAGGCGCGTCACCGGGGGCAGAGGGGATGGAGCCGAGGCGGGCTCGCGATCACCATGGTTTGTTTTCTATCGCGTCTACGTCGGGTTCGGCGCCTCAGAGCGGCGCGCAGGCTGCCTCAGGACATGCGCCAGCGGTAGGTGGGGCGGGGCAAGCTGCCCGCTACCCTGCTGGACCCGATTGGGAAAACACGAATCAGTGTCAGGATGTTTGTGATGTCATGCCTTCTGCAGTGGAGGGGGTTGCTTCTGCCCCTCGCAAGATCACGGTAATGCAGATCGGCTCCTGTCTCGGAAGCGATGGGCCATATGTCGGGCAGACTGGCTATGGTGATTTCGGGGGGGGAGGCCCGTGGTCGAGTTGCCATCCTGAGTTTGCCAGACTACACTTCTGCTGCGTCTGGCGATAGGTTGGTGAAATGCGCGCCCGCGTGCGTGCGTGGGAGGGTGAGGGGTGGGTGGTGGTGCGTGTGTGTGCGTGTGTGTGTGTGTGTGTGTGCGTGTGTGTGCGTGCGTGCGTGTGCGTGTGCGTGTGCGTGTGCGTGCGCGTGTGCGTGTGCGTGTGCGTGTGCGTGCGCGCGCGCGCGTGCGTGCGTGTGCGTGTGTGTGTGTGTGTGTGTGGGGGGGGGGGGAGAGAGGGGGGGGGGGGGGGGGCTCGGCGCTGGCGTCGGCAGCGGCGCCCCCCCCCCCCTCCTTCCCCCCGCGGGAACGGCCGCGGAAAGGGCCACTTCAGCTCCAAGGTGGCGAAGGCCTGGAAGATACGTGAGTTGCTGGACGAGGGCGCAGGCAATTGTGTCAGAGCTGGCTATGTTGGTTGGTTAGGCAATGCCCAGCTCGAGGCAAGCGCTGAGGCAGCGATTACCACAGCGCAGTTGGCCTTGGATTTGTTCGCCAGGAAGAGCCAGAATGCGCGGGCGCAGCGGACAGAGGAGGCGTTCAGAGAAGGAGGACGCGATGCGCATCGGTTCACACGCATTCGCGGTGCACTGGCGGCTCTCGATGCCACAGAGTTGCCGCCTCCTCCAGAACTGGCTGTCAGCGAGCTGGAGAAACGGAAGGGGGTCAGGCAGCTGCGCGGCGCGGAAGAGCCACCTGCTTGGCGACGCGGCAGAGTGGGAGCAATTACCGCCGCTGTGCGGCGCCGATCTGGAAAGAGTAGCGCTTCCTTCTGCAAGGCGCACAGGACGCGGGCAAGCGCGCGCGCTGCCCAGACACTTCTGGTTCACATCAGATGAAGGACTGGAGGTGGCCAAGCTGTTCAACGAGTGCGAGGGGCAGCTCGCGTGGCCGCAGACGCAGCTTTTCACGGGGATGTGCGCGCTACCCAAAACAAGCGCCGGCACAAGTCTTATCGCGCGCCCCCCCAACACAACGTTGAGGCTCCGGGGCCGAGCGAGAAGGCCCCACAGCGCGCAGCGGGAGAATGCGCACCCCCGCCCCGGTTTTTTTTTGGGGGGGGGCCCGGGAAGAACGTCGAGTGACTGCGCGTTCCAGCTCAATCCTGAAGCCGAGGAAGCGCATGCACGCAATCAGCACGTCATCGCGGCGTTTGTGGAGATGCACAAGTGTTATTATGCGTGGGGCGCGCGGGATGGTTTACCCTGCGAGGCTTATGTGGGTGATCCCGCAGGCGTGCATGATGCCGCGCATGGTGCGCGCAGATTCGATCATGAGCGCCATGCTCACGTCGCATCAGGGCACGCCGTCGCCCCGTAGAGCAAGGATAGGCAGCCTTCCCAAGGGCGCCCTTGCATCCTTGCCTCCCGGGTCCATCCCTGGACATTTTCGTTGGCCGCGCCCTGCTCGAAACGCTTCGAAATGGGCGTCCAAGTGCCTTGCATCCTCATCGCGCATCCTTACTCTGCGGGCTGACTGCAGTGATTGGTAGCACGCGTGCTACGACGGTACTTAAGGATGTCATGTATAGTGTGATGGACCAGATGCACGCGCGGCACGCGGATGCGAGGCACCGTGCCTCGATGGATGACACCGCGCCACAGTGGAACAGGAAACGGCGTTAGAGGCCCCAGTGCATTGCATGCGCGCGAGGAACTTCGCGGGAGACTCACGCGGCCTGGGTGCGATTCCCACGCGAGGTAAATCTGGATATGTGGCCACCGCGGCCCGAGCGGCCAAGGGGTTCCAATCGGGGGTCAAATGCATGCGCCCAAGGGCCGGACGTCACATTCGGATTCT